AAGTATCTAACAATCAAAATAATTTACATTCTAATCAATCCGATATCATACCTCGCAAACACATTTGAAGCATCAACAGGAACTTGAATCACCCAAGATTTACAAGCATTTACAAATTTCCAATCAGCCGAATTGTTTTTGTAATATTTATTATTATTATTCTTTTTTTGCTTTCTGCGGTCAAATTTCTTCTTTGTCGTCTTTTCAAGCTAAAATATAAATTATGATTATTATAACGTAGTTTTCTCTGTCCACTGCATGACAATTTATTAACTTTACCGCATATCATATTCAGACGCAGATTTGGCAACTGCATTACTAAATGAAAAGCAGTCGAAATTTCGACCACATTTTGGCCACCTCGCAAGAAATATTCCATCCATTTTTTGACAAGTCATAGCTTTCAACCTCAGTGGAAGCGCCTGCTGATTTTGAAGTTCTTTCTGGATTGGACGTGTACGAGTCCACAACAGAAGAATACTAGGAATTTCTTTTAACGGTAAGGGAAGAAATAAAGCATTTACGGGAATGCACAACCTTGTAACAGTTTCAAAGAAACTGTAGACGATAATCGACAGGCCCTATCACGTGACTGACGGGTGACCAATAGATTTTAACAGTGAGAAGTTTGTACCAATAAGGCCGCAGGCATCCAGTTGGAAGACACATTGGCTGATATGGGACGATGAACTGTAAGAGAGATATGGAAGCTTGTGGAAACAGGTCGCAGTATTGGGCCTCGAGACTCGACCATCGTAATTCCCGTTAAATAAAAAATAGTGTCAGTCAATCACTGCTGCATTGACCCTACAATGAATGTCAGGGGTGGAAACGAGTTTCCGGGTAAAAGTTACGGTTTCCTGAATGATTAGAAGGTCAGCATTACTGTAAGCCATCTACGGGTGAAAACAAGCATCTGACCATGTTCACACCTGGAATTTACCTGTTTTCTGAATCACTGACCAATCCTGTAAATACAACCTTCTTACCTTGCATGTAGCGCAACGTCAATTTGTCGCTGCCACTTGTTGAGCTGTATATTATTATTGCTTCGTTCGATGCGGAAGTACCTCCTCTAGCAAGCTGGTTCGTACAACACACTCTAAAGTACGTTGGCATGACAAGGCGAAATTATGTCACAAAAATGTCGAAAAAAGTACTAAAGATTTAGTACTTATTATTGGCTTTCAAGTTCACTTAAATTTATGGAACTAAATTGAAATACCTGTGTCCAGTTGGTCTGAAGTCACTCCCAATCTTGATTTCCGTGAAACCATATGTGCATAGAGTACCGCAACTGAATCCGATTGTCTGTAGTTCGATTTTCACCTTTTTCCCAACAGCCGCCTCAATAGTTTTAAAATAAGTAATGATAATGGCATTGTTTTTGGTCTGATCGAAAGAGTCAAAATCTCACTGATAAAAGCAACTGTGCCGATGTAGTGTAACTAATCATGTTCAAGCACACATGTAACCGTTTAGAAACATTTCTTTGATAGATCTATGAAAATGGGCAGCATTTTCCTCATATGCCAATTCGCTTGCTGCCCTGTGAACATCATAAGCATAAGCACTGTAGAAGCTGATCCTGGTGATTATACACATGACATTCATCGTATGAACATGCTTTGGTGTCTATACGGTAGCATATAAGGAGTACCAGCTCTTGAATCATATCTTCTCTAACGAACAGATGGTGCGAAATGCATTCGGCACTGCAGCTGTTCCCTTATCATTGATCCGTAGCCTGTTTGAATACCCCCCGCCAAACCACGGGGAGTAAGGGGGCAATGGGCGGTATTATGTACCCAAATTCAAAACTCTGGAGGACTTATGTTATCTCACTGCTTGTGCTTCCGAATCATTTTGCGGACATGATTTTTCATCTATATATCTAACAAGTCCTTCTGTTTAAGTCATAACATTATTCCGTTTTCTACCATTTCGAAAAAGAAACGGTGAATTCGTTGGCTGGGATGAATACTGAAACGTCCACTAGACTACGTCTTACAACACATACCGCCCGTTTCCGTGGGTGGCTAAGTTCAGAAAAGAGGTTGGCAAGTTAAGACCTCGTGGAACCTCATCAAAGATGACTCTGAAGTCCTCAATATATCAATGTAAGCGATGGCCAAAACTGGCTGAACTTGGTGACCAGTTGGATTATCATGGAT